GAAAAGCATGGAGAATTTCTGTCACATTACTGTCTGCGGAGTCATTTTTTTCCCCCCGAACAAACGCTACGGGGGACAAAGTTTAAGACATGCTATGATAAAAACTCTTATTATGCTAATGACTGTGCAGCCTACAGGAACGCAAACAGCTCCATCACAGAGCAACGGCGACGCATATTAATTTAGACTCCACATTTTTATGATATGTTAATGTCTTTTTAAAGGTACATTTCACCGGTTCATTGATTGATGGGCAGATTTTTGCATAGACCACCTGGGGATAAGAATAACGATTATTTTAAAAGCTTTTATCGCTGCTGTATGACTCATTTCAAAGCGGTAATTATGTGAAGGTTTAGTATCTAGTCTAATTTAATGAACAGAATTCATTAAAAGTTTTTTGTTTACGTAAGTATTGTAAATTGCTAATCGCTTTTGATCATATTTTGGGCAACGGAAAGGAATTTTTAACACAGCATAAAAATTATTTGTCTAATATTGAAGTAGAATGTGGTTTTTGACTAGTTCTGATCATTCCTAAAGCATTCTGAGCATCATGATACGTCTAATAACAACTAGAGATGCAACAATAATCGATATAATATTGAATAGTTCGATACTGGTCTCACAATTCGATACACATTTATTTTGGTCTGAAAGGAAAACAGTTATCACGGTGTCCTCCTCTGATGCAGCAAGAAAATTACTCCATAAGGACTTACAACTGAAATATTCTAACAGAGGAGGGTTTTATCTTTCAGTCGCTTTTTATTTTACGTTGATTGACCCAGGAATGACAAAGATATTAACTTGTTTTGCGTCATTGCACTGGCTTCCTGTTAAAGGTTGTATGGAGGATTTTTTTTTTGTTTCACATTGTCAATGAAAGTTTAAAATACCATTACAGAGACGCAGCGGCCTTGTAATTATGATGACCCAAAAAAAAAAAGAATGAAAATCCATCAACTGTGGACGTGTTGAGGCCAGATAAACATCAGCTAATAGAAAACGAGGCTCCCTCTTTTTCTATTGGCTGTTAGGTCGTCAATCAAACTCCCTACGTTTCTAGCGTAACTGACTCGTTGTCGCGCAGGGATTTCGTGGTGTATGGGGCGGTTCTTAGAGGCTTTTTCAAACTGTAGCTTCATCGCAATTCGCACAGAGTTTGTCGCGACGGTGGACGAGAATCCACGACCGGTTCGCCGCCAAAGAAAGTCAGTTTTTTGAGGTCGCTGAAAGAAGAAGAGAAGGAGAAAAGGAGCGAAGACAAACTGAGGTGATTCTTGGAGATTCCTTCCAGCGATGGTGCGACTGAAGCAGACGAAGGGTCTAAAAACTGAAGACGCGTCGGTCGCTAAATTATTTCTAGACAGGAAACTTCAATGGTAATTCTGAACTGGCTGTAAACAAACGTGATTTCTAGAGTAAAGAGACGGGACGAGATGTTTCTACTGAGGAGCTGTGGAGGAGGAAGGTGGTGTCACACATGCACAACATTTGAAAAATTATTTCTCTTCCCTTAAAATATCCTCTATACAACCTTTAATTTTAGAACTGATTTTAAGATTTTATTATTTGTTTTTAAAGCTTTGAATGCACTGGCCCCACAATACATCTCGGACCTCAGCCAAATTTACACCCCCGCACGCGCTCTGAGGTCCGAGGGCCAGCTCCAGCTCCTGGTGCCTAAAACGAGACTTAAAACCAGGAGGGACAAAGACTTCTCTGAGGCTGTGCCCAAACTCTCGAACACTCTGCCCCCCCAGAGACTTTTTTTTAAAGTAAAATGTTTTACTTTGCTATGTGAACACTTTGGAAACTGTTTTGTTTATAAAATGTGCTAACCCTAACCCTAAAGTTGGATTGGACTGGATTGGATTTAAATACTTTAGAATCGCTTTTTGGCTTCACACCGGCTTTAATAATAAGCCAATGATGTTCATTATGTCTTCTTATATACTTTAACTTCTTAGGTTCTTTTTAAAGACAATGCAGTAAAGTGTATTTACCTTGTTGACATGTTTCGGCTGCTGCTGCAAGCCATCTTCAGAACTGTCACCGGTGTTGGTGGTGACGTGTCGTATATCAGCTGTTGTTACTTCCTGTAGGCGTGGTCAGCCTGATGGACCTGGCAGGTCGCTCAGACTGACCACGCCTCCCGTCGCCCGGTGTCTCTGGAGGAGGGTGTCCCAGGTGTGTGAAAGGAGGAACGCTCCGTCATCACGGTTAATGCTGTCCGTGCCTCGTTTCCTGATTTCACCGTCCTCCTTGATCCAGCGTTTGAACTTGTTGTTTTCCGATCCAATGACCCGAGCCCCGTCCCAATCCATAATGTGGTTGTTCCTTTTACAGTGTCTGATATGGCGGATTTTAGGTTTTCCTGTTCTGCTTTGTCTTTTTGTGTTCTGGTGAGTCTCCCTGACGTTTCCTTTTCGCATTCCTTTTGGTGTTCCTTTTTTCGGATGTGAAATGCCCGGCCTGTTCCCCCTATGTATGATTTACAAGGTAAATACACTTTACTGCATTGTCTTTAAAAAGAACCTAAGAAGTTAAAGGCTTTAATAATAATTTATAATTTCGTATCAGCACTTGCGATGCGATTCACAATATACGCGATCTATTTCATAAGATTTAGTCAGTTTCTGTGTAGACTCTGCACACCTGACTGGGCGACAGGTGCGTTGGAGGAAAGACACTCAGCTGTTATTAAAGAAAACTCTCACTCTTGCTTTTTCTTTTATTGGTTCGACGTTTTGGTCCCTCAGGCCTTCCTCAGGTATATGTAGGTATAAGTTTTATTCAGAAAACGAACCATTGAGACGTTTCTAAATAATATAACACAGTTTTAGTGTCCAGAAAGAGGACGGGAGAGCGCAGTGTGTCACAGACTGTAGCAGGGCAGAGTGGGAGGAGCTACGTACTGTCTCTGCTGGAGGAGGCGGAGCAGCGCAGACACAGGCATGAGACTCAGGAGGAACAGACTCAGGAGGAACAGAAATCATCAAATCATCATCAAAGAAGGAAAAGTCTGATAGTGGAGCTTCCCTACCGCTTTATATTAAGAATAGACTGGCTGTGTTATAAAATATAAAACAGCCTGAGAAAACTCTGTTCTTATTTTCACTGAATAAAAATGGTGTAAATCATTGAACCAAGTGAACTAAAACATTTCACATATAAATTAAAGTTAGCAGAAAAAAAAATCACATGAGATTTGTTTTTGCGTCTTAAAACGTATCAAAATTGAATCGATATCGTGACCCCGTGTATCGAGATATGTATTGAATCATGGAAAAAACATATCTCTGCATTCCTAACAACAACTAGCATGCTAACAGTGCACCAACTTTACGAACTTCAGCCAAAGATGCACACAGAGGTCTTATTTTGACTCTAAGAAATGCTTATATAATTGATCTGTACAGGGGAACGTCATTCATTTACATTGGAATAAATATATATACAGCCCGTTTAATCTTTTCCGTATCAATACTTGTTCAAATTTGTATCTAGTTTCAATATAGTTTCAGTCAATTAGTATCTGGGCGCCCACGTTTGACAACATTAATTTGAGTATTCGAAAACGCAGCGAAACTTGATCTCAATCTGATCCAAACACGAGGGAGGTCCAAGTGTCAACAACAACAGCAGGACGTCAGTACACAAACCGCAGGCTGCAGAGACGTGCCCTTTAGAAATTTAAAGGTCCTATATTACACTAAAGCGATTCTTGGGCGCTTTAGGCCGTGTTATAAGCCGTTACTTCATCAAATACAAACTTGGAGTTGTGTTTTGTTACATTCACACGTATGAGTGTTAAACGCGAATGAAACAAAACACAAATCCAAGTCTGTTTTTCGAGGTAACAACATAATAACACAGATCAGAAAATAGTGTAACACAAACACTTTAAAGGAAGCGCAATGATATAGTTATGTAGAATTAAATGAGCATAATACTATTTAAAACCAGACACAATATACCACCTGTAAAAGACATTTAAGCAACCCTTGTGTGTGTTAGTGTGGACAAAATGCCAGCAGAAGGCGCAAGAACTCCAACTACTATCCAACCAAGGAGTGAAAATGAGGGTTTCACAGGGTTCCCACTCTTTTTCAGTGACAACATTTCAAAGCTTTTCTGTGAATTTTCCATGACCTTACAGCGCCTACATGGGACTTTTAGGACTAAATATGAAATGTTAACTCTTTCCACTCACCTTATGGTTTGATATTATAGTTTTTTTTTTTTACATTTATTGTCGTCTCTTTTGAACAAAAGGCGCAGACGTTCAGAAATAATCGTAATGGTCTAATGAGAACTTAACAAAAAGCAAAAAGCTGTAGTTGTGTGAAAGAGATACTAAAATTCCATGACTTTTCCAAAACTTTCATTGAATTTACAAAATTTCCATGATTTTCCAGGCTTTCCAGGACCGTGGGAACCCTGGTTTTAGTTAAACTGAGGCTAAAATTGTAGCTATATGGAGAAAAAAACAAAAACAAAACAAAAAACCATATCAGTTCTACAAGTTAAAGGCACACCATGTAACTTTTCTGATAGGAGCCTGGCACCTGCTTATATACAGTATGTCAATGTGATGTCAGGAATATTCCACAGTATGACATTAAAAATATCTTGAATTGATTTAATTTAAGTGTTTATATTGCTAAAAATACCTTGAAAAACATGTATGCTTACAGGTTAGATCTGTGGAGAGGTGACCCCACTCAGTTACTTGGCCTGCTGGCATCACCTGCTTGTCTCCATGGATACATAAATATAATTCCATTCTGTCCAGGCAAAGGAACAACATCTCCATGGAGACAAGCTCGTGACAAACCCTCAACAAGAAATGTTACACAGTGCACCTTTAACACTGCCCACATTTCCACCCAGCCTGCCCACTGACCTTCTCCTGGCTCTGGTCATTTGGGTTTGTTTGTGGGACCAGTGCAGTTGTCTTCTATATAAAAAGATCCATAATATGTTTTTCTTACCATGATTAGAGAATAGGTCACTGTGGACGATGTCGATCATACAGTCCAACTTCTGCTTGACCAGACGCCCCAGGGGAACCTTCAGGATGAACTCTGTGAAGAGCTTACTGCAAAAAACAAAACAAAACACAAAACCAGGAGCATCATGGTTAGAAATGTCAATACAGGGGGACGGGTGAGTGGGTCTGAGACAGTGATCTGATGTGGTCACTGCACAGAACCAGGCTGAGCTGCAAGAGATGTTTTACTTTTAGACAGTGAAAGTTATAATTTAAAGGTTCTATATTGCGCAAAATGGACTCGTGTGAGCTTTTAGACATGTGAAAATGTTGTTACTGCCACAAAAACAAACCTGGAGTTGTGTTTTGTTTCATTCACATGTTTGAGTAACCCTTTATTATTAGTCCGTTTACATTTGAAGTTCCAAAATCCAAATGATTCTAGTTAAGGTGTATGGAGTTTAAAAACACAGTGGAGCACTTCCTGTATTACCACATGACATCACAAGGTGGAACAGCGCGTTTTCTGCTTGAGAGAAGAATTCAGGTATGGAGGTATTATCCATCCTGAGCATCGCAATAATTGACCACAATGAGTTTTTAAACGCTTTTCACAACTGTCACAATAATACTATCAACAACTATCATGCTGACCGTGCACATCCTGATTCTTGGACAATACAATGATTTATAATTAGATGTAAACAATAAACAGCAGACATGTTTTGATCCCAAGAGCTGCTTAGAAAAGACCAAGTTTGCTCAAAACCATTTGAAAATCTGGTACCGACCCTTTAGCACGTTGTGTCCCAAAGACTGGGTCACGACCCTCAGGTGAGTCACAAAAGATTTTTTTTTTTTTTTTATCTGAGTGTTGCGCTCTGCTCCTGCACCTCGGACATGACGATAACCCTAACCCGCTGCAAAAACACAGACAGGCCCATCTATCTCATTTGAAATGTTCAAATTTTAAGACATGTTTTATATAATTTCTAATCTTTTGGTAATTATTTTATTGACTGTTTTGTTCCAATATTTCTGGTTCAATTGAATGTTGAAAAGAAAAAGAAACAGGCTACATTTAATGTCCAAATAGGCGACTTATGGATTATTTTATTGCTGCTTCAATGACTGTTTTTCATTGTGTAAATCTTGAGTAATAATTAATTGTTCAGAGACACGATCACTCAGTCAACAATAAAATATCCTCATTAATGTTCAAAAATGGTCAAATCCACCTTTATTTTGTGATTTACGAAAAATGTCTATTGACTTGGGTCGTGAAGGTTTTTGACTTTTAAAATATGAGTCCCCAGGAAAAAAAATAAAAAATCGGAAACACTGCTTTAATGAATTCATCTAATGGAGTAAACCTATTTTAATTTATCAATTAAATTAATTTCTGTATATATTTTCATTAAATGTACATGTTTTGAATCTGAGTCTGTCTAAAAGTACAGAGATAAGATTTCGTGTTCTTTTACTTAAAAATGTTGAAATAAAAAATAAAGTAGCCAAGTCTAACTCTACTCTACACTGTGTAACTTTTCTTTTCTGTCCATCAAATGCTTTTCTCCATGGAGATGCTCTTGATTTGGTCTGGAATGTTCCACAGTATGGCATTAAACCTTTATATCTTCATGGAAACCAAACCAGACCAAGGTATGGGTCAGATCTGTGGAGAGGCGACGACTCTCACAGTCAGAATGTTGTTTTTCTAGGCATTTTTGAGCTATAAAACCACCTGTAATTGAATAAATGTAAGGTAGAGCCGTTTAATGTCACACTGTGGAACATTTCAGACCCCCAACCACAAAGTTACACACTGTACCTTTAATAAGATCAATGAATATCCAACCAATTTTGCACTAAACACTTATAGTAGCAGATAGTAGCAGATGCAGTACCGGATCCGCCCACTGGTCTAATGAGAGGAGTTTAATCAGCCAAACAACATCTGTGTGGGAGTGGGCGTCCTCTACTTCAACACAACAACTAAAATTACAATGTGTATCTCCATGTAGCTACTGTCTCAAAAAGCACTTCATGTATTTGATAATTTTGTTAGAGATAATTGGCATGTCTACAAACGCTGAAACAAAGAAACACCGAACAAAACGTGTCATTTTTTTCCAACATATTTTTCAGTGTTTCTTCACAAATTGCTTCTCGGTTGCTGTAAGACTATTATTTATATTTACAGCAGGTATTATTCCAATAAATTCTGTAAAAATTTAGACAGAATAAAACTTTTAAAGGTCTTATATTACACAAAATTTACTCTTTGAGAGGTTTTGGTCACGATGTTACCTCCTCAAAAACAGACCTGGAGTTGTGTTTTGTTTCATTCACATATGCTTGAATAACACTTTATTATTAGTCCGTCTACATCTCCAAAGCTCAAAATGCTCTGTTCCATCTTGTGACGTCATGAAGTGGTAGTTTTCAAACCAATATCTACATTTTACCTTTTGTTTAGTAGAGATTGTCAATTACAGAGCTAAAATGACCCAAATGATTCTAGTAAAGGTGTTAGTTGGATTGGACATTGGAGCACTTCCTGTATTACCGCATGACATCACAAAGGGGAACAGTGCGTTTTCTGTTTGAGACAAGAAATCAGCCTAAATATGCAGGGTTTGTGTGTTCAACATGTGTGAATAAAACTAAACATAACTCAGAAACTCATAAACATCCCCTGCTTGTTTCCATGGATATGCCATTGTTCTTTCATGATGATCGCATTAAACAGTAGAGCCCTGCACCCGTGGGACCCGGCGCAAAACAGTGTGATGCGGGACACATTTTGAAAGCTCATTGCAGGCGTGGGCAGGAGCAGGACTGCACAATGCGGGAGCGGGCGGGTGGGATGATAAACTGCAGTCCCGCAAACTAAATATGAGTGTAAAAAAAATATATACAAATGATTCATGTTTGTCTATCGTACATCATTTGTGCTGGATATTTTATTCATAATAATTAATAATAACATTTTAAGCAGCCTAAATTTGCAGATATGGTCTAATCTCGTAGCCTGATTCATCATCCGATTTCACTTTGAGGAAACTGTCTGACCTCGCAGCATAAGAATTCGTTCGCTCGATGGTAGGCAGGTACTTTTTAAATTCAGTCAATTGCTGCAATTTGGTCGTGACGAATGTAATGCGCAAAATCCCATAGGAAGAAGGGCAATAACGTCTTTCCCCTTGATAAAATTCACCAAACATTCTCTTTGTTCCGGCTTTAAATCCTCGATCTCGGGAATCGTTGCCAACACAGAATATCTGTCTTCGTCTACATCCATCTCGACCGCTTTGTTTACTGTTGTGCTGAACCACAAAAGGGACCCAGACAGACGCTTGAGTTTGACGTCATGGCTTCACAGCTCTTTGGCGATTGGCCGGTGTATGATCTACAACTTCCGGGCTTCTTGCAAATCGTGTAGTGGATTCTGATTCCTGACCTAGTCACTGGAGAGAAATTAAATTGAGCAGAGGCACTAGGTAGCGCCAACCTGGCTACTAATCTCGCACACATTTTAGACAATTCTTTTCCGCTTCTCCGTGTTTGATAGAGCTTCAGAAAGCGAACGTCCCCGTCTCGCTTGATTTGGCGGTTGCTGTTCCACAGATCCGACCTGTAACTTGGTCTGGTTTGGTCTTCGTGAAGATCGAAAGGTTTAACACCGTACCATGAAACATTCCAGACAAAGCAATAACATTTCCATGAAGAAAAGCATTTGACCCTGCCCCAGAAATGATACACAATGCATCTTTATAGTGCAGTATACAGCCTAAGTTCACTGTAAGAGTTTGTTTGAAGGCTGTGGCAGACTCATTTCAAGATGTATTGTTCCAGAAAAGAAATCTCCAATGGGAAGCACACAAAGCTCTGTATTCATCTGCTTTGTCCGAGCTATGGAGAATAGAGTTACAGAACACTGCAAGGTTAGTCCTGCAGATTATAAATGGACCAACTGTACTGTAGTTTTTCTATCGTCTGCCCCTTGAGAAGAACAAATAAAAGATGAGATCGAAAATAAAGGGCAAATCATTTCATCACAAATGTCAGACCCGTTTTAAAACAGGTTTAAACCAGCTACCTCCATCTAGACTGTTTTACTGTCTCTTCCCTCATTTTATTTTATTCTGTTCGGTAAAAGTTCATTCTGTTTTCAGTTTTAAACTTGGAATTATCGATTATTTTTTACAAACTCTCCTGTCTAGTCTTTTACTGCATCCATTTGTCTCCTGTCTGGTACTTCTCTAATAATTGATCCAAGACCTTAAACTGAAAAAGATCCTAATTTACTGTACACAAAATTGACTCTTGTGAGCTTTCAAGTCAGGTTAGAATGTTGTTACCTCCTCAAAAACAGACTTGGAGTTGTGTTTTGTTTCATTCACATGTTTGAGTGATCCTTTATTATTATTTGTCTACATCTGTAAAGCTCAAAATAATGCGTTCCACCTTGTGATGTCATGAAGCGAAGAGAAATCGGAAATTCCAGGCCTAAAATGATCCAGATTATTCTATTGGACTTACTGTACAATATACATTTATATAATTTATGTCTTATTGATACCAGTCTCTTGCCATTTTTTTTTTATTACTACTTACTTAGAAGTTTATTACAATTTTTCTACTCTTTATGATTGTAATATAATGTGATATGTGAGCTACTGTGTCCAAGTAATTTCCCTTGTGGATCAGCAGAGTCTGTCTAAGTCTAAGGATACGTTCAGACTGCAGGGTTTAACGCGCAATTTGGATTTTTGGGGGGAAATCAGATTTTTTTGCGAGGTGGTTCACATTTCCAGTTAAATGCAACTTGTATGTGATCTCCAGTGTGAACTTTAAACGGACCAAAAGTGTCCCGTGCTCAGTGTTTATAGAAGTCGCCTAAACATGGACGCGAGCATTGAGAACCTGGATATTTTAAAGTTGCTGTTGTACCGGAACTAGAACATGTACAGTGTATTTGCGTTCATGGCGTTTTGTGGGGCAGTGGCAGCAACGTCCGTAGAAAGAAATGTGTGGGGGCAGAGATGCAGCCAAGAATGGTGGGATTGCTCTGTACTTCACTGCTTCACTGACATGCAATTCATACACAATTTCCGTATGAGGAGAAGAACGTTTGTGTACATTTGTGACGTGTAGGTGGGATGAATGTGACCTGGCCGTTCAGACTGAAGTCGCATGTCAAAAGATCAGATATGTATCGGTTTTAGGAGCACATATCCAAGTTTCCTGGGTCGCATTTGATCAAATCGGACCTGTGCCTTTCATTAAAAGATCAGATACAGGTCGCAAAAAATCTGGGATCTGGGTCACTTCAGGCTGCAGTCAGAGCATAGCCTTTCAGAAGGTGGAGTTTAAAAACACAGTGGAGCACTTCCTGTATTACCGGATGACATCACAAGGTGGAACTCAGCCTAAGACCCCGGTTACACTGAAATCAATCCGCGTATCACCGTATCGGAACCGATCTGCGTCCAGACACGTTGTTTCTGTGTCCGCCATCCTTCCCTATCCACACAGCTTTGAGCATATTTGTTTACGTTTTACAGAAACAAAACTTAAACTGAGCGCTCAAAAAAACAGCTAATGTGGTTCAGCTTCTGTCGGACTAAAGGACACGACTCAGTGGAATATGAGTGTTCTTTCTGTGACAGAGGGGTGTTCTGCTGATGGTGAGTCTGTTGTTGCTTCTATCACGTTGGAGATGGTTCATGTGAAACTTTTCAGAGATGATACGTCTGCAGGTCGAACACACAGACCGTATATATGAATATTTTCTAGCCTCTTATCATTTTGGCGGTGAATTAGCTACTTTGCGGTGCACAGACCTACATCAGCATATCGGCGTTTTCAGGCGTCCACACGGTGCCAGATCAGATCCGTACTCAGACGAATTCGTGGGAGCTGGCGGCACCAGATCGTTCCGTTTATGGAGCCGTTTTCAATCGGATTAGTGTGGACGAACACTGCATCCACAACGAAAACGATTCAAATACGTACTAGTGTGGACGGGGCCTAAATATGCTGAGTTTGTGTGTTAAACATGAATGAATGAAATGATCTGTTTGTGATGAGGAAACAACACTATAGCAGATAAGAAAATAGCGTAAAATGGACCTTTAAAACTAATTTAAATAGTCAGGTTTATATAGCACTTTTCACACACACTCATTGTTGCTGTGTCCTTGAGCCAAACACTTAAACCGCAAGTGTATTGATTAGCCACAACAACAGTGCGCGCTGATATAAACTCGGATTAGCACCACTGACCTTCGGATTCAAACACTCCTACATACCTGCTGTGTTATTTAAAAGTTTTCTTACACTTTGCTATTAATATAAGTTTAAAAAGCCATCATAGCTATTTAAACTCCATTAGGCACTTTAGCCAAGAAAGACGACAGGTTTCCATGGCGATCGGAGCTACTCGAGTGCAGCCATCTATTGAGCAAAATGTGAAAAAGCTCTATAGAAAAATATAAGGAAAAATCATGAAAACACCAGCAGCATCTGAACGCCACAATAACGTTATGTAAGTGAAAAAGTCCTTCAGCTGCATAAGAAATGTGAGAAGATCAGAATGTAAGAAATAAACTGAAGTCATCGTCGACAAGGATGTTCTCAAGTCGTATCGTCTGAGTTGGTTCAATGCAAACATACCTGAGCTCTTTGGGATCAAAAACGAGCTTGACGTCATTCACAATTGTGGGTAGATACTTGAGCGCAGCACCCTGAAAAATAAACAGAAAGAAAATTATGTAAGGATCTAAAAAGTCAAGTGTTAAAAGAATTATTTTTATGATTTTGATCAAATAAATGAAGCTGGCCTGTCTATAAATCTCATACCGTATTTTTCGGACTATAAAGTGCACCAGATTATAAGGCGCGATGTCAATAATGTTGAATTCTCTCGTCTATTTTCATACATAAGGCGCATTAAGCGAAACAAACGGACAACGCTTCAAGATCTCTTGGCAGATCGTAGTGTAATTCGCCCGCCGTTGCCTCCCTGTCTTGGTCATTGTGTCTTATGAATGTGAATGTGGGTAATGTGGATAATTTAAAGGTTGTATAGAGGATTTTTTCAAGGGAAGAGAAATACAGCGAAGTCCTTGTGCGCATTCAGAATTACTGTTGAAGTTTCCTGTCTAGAAGTAATTCAGCGACCGATGCGTCAGTTTTTAGACCTTCGTCTGCTTCGGTCGCGCCATCGCTGGACGAGATCTCCAAGAATCACCTCGGTTTGGCTTTGCTCCTTTTCCCCTTCTCTTCTTCTTTCAGCGATCTCAAAAACGGACTTTCTTTTGAGGCGAACCGGTCGTGGATTCTCGTCCGCCGTCGCGACAAACTTTGTGCGAAATGCGAGGAAGCGACAGTTCGAAAAAGCCTCTAAGAACCGCTGCGTAAACCACGTAATCCTGCGCTCCGACGTCAGTTATACTAGGGAGTTTGATTGACAACCTAACAGCCAATGAAAATGAGGAGCCTGTTTTCCATTGGCTGATGTTTATTGTGTCCAAGTTGATGATTTTCATTTTTTTTTTTTTTGGTCATCATAATTACAAAGCTGCTGCATCTCTGTAATGGTATTTTAATCTTTGACTGAAGTTTGAAACAAAAAAAAAATCCTCCACACAATTTAAGGGCCTGTTTACACGCGAACGCTTGTGGGTAAAAAACACAAAATATTTTATCGGAAATGCCTTTAGTTTAGACGGTGACGGCGTTTTTGGGGCTTAAAAACGCTATAATCTGAAACCACCCTCCAGAGTGGAAAAGTTGAATACGATCCACCGTAGAGTTTCCGTCTACACTGCCCAAGACGCAAAACTCTGGTCAGATCTGCTCACGTCTTGTACGCAGATTTCCTCCTGAAAACGCGCAACAAAAAGTGAAGACGCGATGCCACGTTTGCGTCTTCTGTACAGACAGTCATCATATAAACACCTTACAAGGAGAACTCAAATATACATTGAGTAATAATGTGTTTAAAGCAGCTTTGTGCACATTTGTTTACGTTTTACACAAACAAAACTTAAAACCACATGGCTAATTTACATAAACTATAAGCTCTGAAGGAAGTGTTCGCTCCGTGTGCGCTGATGCGATTCAGCTTCTGTCGGACTAAACTCTGCGAGGCTCCTGACTGCAGTAGCCGTAACGCTCTAACAATTAATCAAGTGGTTCGGCTTCGTAGTTTACCAAAGTCGTACTAAAACATTTTGACAAATTTTTGAGCGCCATGTACCACATAAAATCGGTTCGAGGTCAGTAAGCACAACCAGAATTAACACATAAGGTGCACTGTCAATGTTTGAGAAAATTAATGAATTAAGGTGTGCCTTATAGTCCGAAAAATACGGTATTCACTTTATTCTACATTAGCGTGTTTGTAACCATGGTGAGAGATACCAAGTTGTTGTTGGAAGAAAATCGTACAAAAATTAAAATAACATATTACTTAAAAGGCTTAAAGGTGCATTGTGTAACTTTTCAAGTGGAGGGTCCATCACCATGGAGATTGGAGTTGTTGCTTTGCCTGGAATTTTTCACAGTATGACATTGAACTTATCTATTTCCATGGAGATCAATTTACAAGTCTGATCTGTGGAGACGTGGGCTGATTACAAGGTATTTTATTGTAAAAACACCTACAATTAAATAAATAATAAGCAGGTTTAATGCCATACTGTGGTACATTCCAGGGAAAGCAATAGCTCCATGGATTCTTACCAGGAAAAGTTACTTAGTGCACCTTTAAATCACATCAATAATTGCTTTTCTTTTTAAAATATGGCCCTCTTGTAAACAAAGGCGTTAGAAAGACACAGCACACAGAACACACAGTAGCATCAGTTATTGGTTGCAAACATATTAGTTAGAGGAGAAAAGTAAGAAAAATTTGGAAATAAATTCACTAAAAATACAAGCATTTAGTCCAAGAAAGACACTGACAAACACACTTGTACAGACACACACGCCACACATTCAGGTGGATTGAAAAATATGAACTGATCACGGTTTAAAAGTGTGAAATGGAGACAAAGAAAAAAGAGATAAAGTGTTGTCACGATGTTAAAATTTCAAACTCGATACTAAGGAATATACTGACTCTGATACCACAATGATAATAAAACTCACTTTATTTAGACAACAGAATGTGATTTTCAACATTAAATCACAGCATTTTCTTTTATATTACTCGACTATGTGCTCTTACACTTCTCATACAGCTCAAGATCTTTCTAAAACTATTCAAGAATTCTTCATTTCTGACTTTTTTAGTATCGATACCTGCTCAAACGAGAATCTAGTTTCAATACTAGTTTTAATATTGATTAGTATCTGAAAGAGATGTAATAATAACCGAAATATTGTGATATTGTATCGTCAAAAGTCTCACAATAATATCGTGGACTGTCACAATATATCGAATTACAAGTTTCTTCACTTAAAGGTTGTATAGAGGATTTTTTTAAGGGAAGAGAAATACAGCGACAGTCCTTGTGCGCATTCAGAATTACTGTTGAAGTGACCTGTCTAGAAGTAATTCAGCGACCGACGCGTCAGTTTTTAGACCCTTCGTCTGCTTCGGTCGCGCCATCGCTGGACGAGGTCTCCAAGAATCACCTCAGTTTGGCTTTGCTCCTTTTCCCCTTTCTTCTTCTTTCAGCGACCTCAAAAACGGACTTTCTTTGTGGCGAACCGGTCGTGGATTCTCGTCCGCCGTCGCGACAAACTTTGTGCGAAATGCGAGGAAGCCGACAGTTCGAAAAAAGCCTCTAAGAACCGCCTGCGTAAACCACGTAATCCCCGCGCTCCGACGAGTCAGTTACACTAGGGAGTTTGATTGACAACCTAACAGCCAATAGAAAATGAGGGAGCCTCGTTTTCTATTGGCTGATGTTTATCTGGCCTCAACACGTCCACAGTTGATAGATTTTTGTCCTTTTTTTTTTTTGGTCATCATAATTACAAAGCTGCTGCGTCTCTGTAATGGTGTTTTAATCTTTGACTGACAGTTTGAAACAAAAAAAAATCCTCCATACAACCTTTAAATGCACGGTTTTACAGCAATAACAGCTTATAAATAGAGGGAACTCATGATCGACTGCAGGTTCTGGGGTTTAGGTAGTGCCCATTCAGATCAGAGACAGGCATTTTAGATTTAAACCAACTGGATTTCAGCTTTGAAACTGGCAACACAAATGAGAGAGTCATGTGACGCTCATTCTGCTATCCGATTGAAGAATCATCTTTAGAATCAAAACATCAAATTATAACAGAAACAACTTGACCATCATGTCTAACTTTTTGGAATTAAAATAAATCAGCATTACAATTGTTATCAGTAAAAACTAGGCATGTAACAATAACAGAAATATCGTGATATATATATCTCATCGTCAAAAGTCTCAAAATAATATCGTAGACTGTCACAATTAGGGATGGGCATGATTAGTTGATTAATCGATAATTGATCATTAAGAATTTCATCGATTACGTTCATTTTAATCGACAAACCGAATGCAGGTTGCTGTGCGTAGCGTAGAGCGACCAAACAGGGTCAGTACGTGTGTCTCTCTGCACTCAGAAGGAGCGAGACACAAACAGTCGGTCAGTCTGCAGCGTACTGAAGTGCAAATATGAATGATGTGCAACAATGACTTGTACAAGAAATTCCACGCTTTCCGTTCGGGACAAGTGTGAGTCCATGTGCACAGTGTATAAAGCAGCACATATGTTTCTGTGTCCAGTGGGAAAAAGTTTTGCCAGGTGAGAGTCGCGCAATGTCGATGACGAGTCCCCACCTCCTCACCTCCAACGTACGGTGTCCTGGTTTTGACAAATGCAAATACTGGATCACACTAACCTGTATTCCACTGAGTCGTGTCTTTTAATCCGACAGAAATTGACCGCATCAGCGACACAAGAGCTGTAGTTTTATCTTCGCTTAGTTTATGCAAATTAGCCATGCTGTTTTAAGTTTCGTTTCTGTGAGAGTTGCGCAAAACTGAATTAAACACATCATAATTTCAAACGGATTGATGTGGCTCTAGAGTCGTTACGGTTTATATGTCGTAAAGTTGAATTTATTTATGCAGATTAGTAGTGCAGATAGTAATAATAATGATGATAATTTTAATATAAAAACGTTAATGATTAATCGATAATCGATCTTTAATTCTTCCGACGATCGATTAAGAAAATTTCACCGAATGCCCATCCCTACTCACAATATATCGAATCACAAGTTCCTTATGGTTTTATAGAAGCAACAGCTCATGACCATCAAAAACTACATATCCCATGATTCATTTCAGTGCAAACATAAAGAAATATGTTTTTTACATGAATTCTTGGGATTATGATGGAAATAATTCACTTCAAAATCTTGTCAAGGTATTTTAAAAGCAAAAAAAGTGTCCTATCTACAATTATATCAGCCTCTCCAAAATATCGCAATAAATATAGTACCGTGAGATGCATATCGTGATAATATCGTACCAAGAGATTTCGATATCGTTTCATGACAACACAACACTGCACATTTCAGGTGGATTTAAAAATATTTACTGGTCATGGTTATTTTTAAGAAGTGGGAAAAAAAATCATAGCACACTCACATGGCTGATGTCCAAAAGCTTTTTAATTTTTAAATAACGTTTCGGAAAAAAAAAAAAAAAAAGCCTTCATCAGATATTTTTCTTGCTTTGGACCACAGTAAACA